GATTCTTTCATTAGTTGGTAGAATGCTTCATAAGAACTACATCTGTGTGGAATTAAAATCCTGGTACTTAAAATTTAAACAAAGCATTTTGTAGAATATTGCCTGTGTATACCATAAGTCCTATATTTGAGGACATTTTCTAAAGTGAACACAAGGGTGAGAAATGCATGATTGCTCTTAGAACCTTCTAAGGACGTAATGGAGGCAGAGAACCATAATAAATGTTGGTTGGTCCAAACTTCACTTCTTTCTTAGGAACCAGCAACATGTTCTTTGCCAATCAGATTAAATCCAAACTCTTAACTCTAGGATTTGTGGAGCAGGTTCACTTGGTCCTGACAGTATAATACAAATCCATTGCACTCTAGTGAATTATTCTGAGCTGCTCATTAGGTATCATGAAATAGATGAATCCCTATTCCTGCTCATGTTGGGGCGGGTTTCACAGACATCTGCTTGCATCAAACGCCTCAGTAGCAAACCCACACAGGCCACCACTCTGGAAGCTGAACTCATTTAGGTGTTTCCTACTGGGGACCCTACCACGTGTCTTCTATTTTAAATCAGACCATCCCAAACAAACCCAGATTTGATGAAAATGTGTACAGTCATTTCAACATAAAGCAACAATGAACTCTTTAATTTTATTCACATAGATTATTCCTTAAATTAGCCGCACTCCTCCAGCTACCTAATGTCATGTTTTCATTCTTAACTCCATCATTATTTGCAAACAATTTCAACCCTTTTGTTAGATCTTATGTTTTTCTCCATTATGCCTTGATATGGATTGCTTTAAGATCTAATAACCCAGAAATTTGTAAGAAAAGCTGAGGACCGTGTTTTTTTTTTTAAAACATGAAAGTTTCTTATGCTGCTATCAAATAACAAGAAGACCCTATCTCATTCTTGATGTTGACAGATAAATATAGGTTGTAATATTATTAAATTTTTAAGATAGCCATTAGTTATACAAATATGGAGCTCATAACTTGCAAAGGAGTGAAGAAAAAAGAACTAAGAAAACCTATCAATACAGCAAAGATAGGAAAAGAACTGGAGAGAAGACAGCATGCAGACATAAGATGTCAGAAGTAAAGCTAAATATATCAGTTATCATGAGAAAAGTAAATAAGTAAACTTCTCCATAAAAGCCAAGCACACTCTCTGATTAAACCAAAAAAATAAATAAATAAAATAAAATAAAACACACACAAAACCACAATTGCTATTCACAAGATGCACCTAAATTAAAATGGCATAAATATGTTCAAAAAAAGAAAGAGGTAGACGAATTAACATCAGAGTAAAATTCAGGTCAAAATGTTAAATAAAGAAAATTATTTTATTTCAACAAAAGGTATACTCTACAGTGAAGATATTACAGAACTAAGCATAGACTTGCCAGATATCAAATATCAAAAATATATAAAATAAAGGCCACTAGAAACACAACAAATAATTTTTAGGAATGCAATTATAAGTGGGTTTATCTTTGACAAATTAAATAGACAATAAATAAGAATATAAAAGTCTTGGATAACATAAAACCTTTAGTAAAAGATGTCTGCTAACCTCTGCAAATTGAGAATACATTTGCTTCCAAAATGTCCTTGGAATGTTTTCCAAAGCATAAAATAAATTGCTGTAAGGAAAACTTCAAAAAGTAACATAATATGAGCCTCATTGTGTGACTTTGTAAAACCATTTTACATTTTAATGGCAACCACATAGCAATTTTAAAATACTCTTAAGTAACCTGAACTAAAAATTTTTAAATGTTTATATTATTAGTATAAGCTGCTTAGGGAATAACAACAATGGGCACTAACTATCAAAAAGATAAGGCAAAAGCTGCACTTGAAGGAAAATTTGTAGCCTGAAATGCTTTATTACTAAATAAGAACAAATGAAAACAAAGTGCTCACTTCAAAAAGCTAAGGAAATTAAATTAAGTATCAAATCTTTCACTTCTCATATTGACAAATACTGAAAAAAATTAGAAGAATTATTGGCAACTATTTGAGGGGGAAAAAAACACTACTGATCATATAAATCAGTACAACCCCACTGGATTGCAGATTGTTAATAAGCATCAAAATCCCTAGAAATTCCACTTTTACAAATTTATCCTAATGATGGATCTGCTCAATGATTTAGCTTGGTATTTAAACTATCAAGCCTATGCTATGAACAGTTAAATGTTTAACAGGGAATAAAAAACTAATATCAAGAACAAAAGAATAAGACAGTACTGTTAAATGGTTCAGGAACATATTATTATAGTTATTATGTACCATGGTTACGCTGACATTTCTTCTAGAACCAGGACTGCAGAAGAGAAGTTTTTCCTCTTTATACCCATAAGATTTTTTAAGATTGGTCTCTGGTCCCTGCATATTCCCAGCTCAGTCTCCCTAATAGTGACAGAAACGAAAGACAGAACATTGTTCCTTAACTCAACCACCTTCCCATCTTTAAACCAAGGCTCCTCTCAGCAAAGAGATCTTCAAAAACCATATCAATTCATGGTAATCTGTGTTCTACTGAATGTACTTCCTCCCACATCAGTAAGTACAAAGAGGCACATAAGATCATCTGTCATTTAACTTCTTTCCTTATCCTCCTGTAGGATAACTATGCCAATAGCCATTGACATGACAATTGTAAAGTGAAGTATTACAAAACCCCAACCATTTTACTTACTTCTTTCCCCCTTGAAACTTAGCACCTGCCGCAGGCAACTTTCTACCCTTCCCATTGTTAATCCTATTCTCTGGAAAGTTCTTGATCAATTTAATCATACTACAGCAAGAATAATAAAGTTCATGCATTAGAACAGTGGCCAGAGTGCCTACTGGCATTTTAAGGGAGGAGAGGAGAACTTTCTAGGGTGCCTGAAAACCCAAAACATAGAATATGTCTGGAGAAACATCATGCCTGTTACATAAGGTGACAGGACAACTTTGAAATCTTCAAGTATTCTAGCTTCATAGCAGAAATAAAATCAATAGATGATAGATAGATACCAATCTTGTATAAGACAACAAATGTGATCTATTTATGTCCTCTTCTCAAATGTTCTCACAGTTTCTATTATCTTCCCAAAATGGAAGTGTGATTAAATAAACATGACAATTTTAGATGAGCTCTCAAAATGGCCTGAGAGGTGTTCTGGTTTATTTATAGAGTCTCTGCCTGAGGATATAAGGCAGATGTCTGAAGGACTCCGTTGCATTAAGACATACTCGGGTATATCCTTTAAGGGTCTCTCTTTCCTGTGACATAGCCTAATTCTGCATCTCTTTTGGCCCTGGCAGTGAGCTTCTGAGCTTTCCAAACCATCTTCCTTTCATCTGCTGCATCATCCTGGAGTAACTGAGGCTACTGGATCTTCACAGGAAAACTATGCAAAGTTTTTGTAGCCATTCATACAACACACATTTGTTTTAAAGGGGATGAAGCTTCCCACTCAAGGGTACTTCCATTTTCTACTATTGAGGCTTGCCACTTTTATTATCAAGCTTTCCCTCCTCCAGAAAACAGAAAAGAAAAAAAAGTCTGTTGATTCCACATTGCTTGCTGGCTTAATAGTATCTCTCATAGGGAAACCCATGATAAATCTGGATCATTTGGAAGGTGTTAAAGAAAACCCAGCAGGGCTGACCATACGGAACAAAGGTGTCTACTCATGTGTTGGAGGCCACACAAATGGGAGAGTCATTGCCCTGGATTTTTCCTTTCCCTCTCTCACTCACCTAATCTTATCAAAAGATTCCTGGTCAATAAACTAATGAAAGAATCACTATTGGGGCACCTGGGTGGCTCAGTCATTAAGCATCTGCCTTCAGCTCAGGTCATGATCCCAGGGTCCTGGGATCGAGCCCTGCATTGGGCTCCCTGCTCCGTGAGAAGCCTGCTTCTCCCTCTCCCACTCCCCCTGCTTGCGTTCCCTCTCTCGCTGTATCTCTGTCAAATAAATAAATAAATTCTTTTTAAAAAAAAAAGAAAGAAAGAAAGAATCACTATCATATATACTTTCTGAAGGAGGCAGAATAGAAAAAGAAAGAGAAGAGGGGAAGGAGAGCAAGGGGAAAGGGGAAGTTTCCTGGGTGACAAAAATGGCAACGTGTGGGGAGACATTTTGGAACAAGGCAGGCTTTGTGGTCCTTTCAAGCCATCAACTCTGGGGAGCCATCAGCCTACCCACTGACGGGACAGCTACGCCATCAAAAGGCTTTCTTTGATGCTCTTCAAAGATCTCTATCTACCTCCTCTAAGAGGGGGAAAAATTATATGAGGTTTACAAGAAAGACATAAGATGTATTTCATATTCTCAAAGAACTTAGAGGCTAATTTTCCATAGTGGAAATCTCATACTTTGAAAACTACCTGATGTACCAAAAACAGCTTCTGCAACAAAGGGCAGATTGAAAATCAATTTGTAACCCTATTTGCTCAAGTATTTTGCTCTCTCCCACCTTCCAAGAAATTAAACACCCGCCTGATCCAAACGTAATGGTAAAATGAGCCCTAAATCTTTAGACCAACATTTGGGAACTTGGCTCATCCAGGCTTTTATAAAAAGTAATGGAAGCAGAACCTCAAATCACACACAAGGCTTCAGAGGTTCCCACCCCGTCTTTAAGTCAGCTGTAACTAGTGCTTAGGTAAGTATCTGAACAACAGAAGTTTCAAAACAATGGGTCATTTAATTTCCAGTGTGTATGTTCTGTGATATGAAACTCTAACATTTCAAAAGTTACCATGTATTATAATATACAACTCAGCTTTTTTATGTTTAAAACATTCCCCACATTCCAGACTGCTAATTTGAGGCCAAATGCCTGGAAAATGTCTCCTTTAAACTCCTTCACTGACATGAGCCCACTTGATATTGCTGTTGTCCTTACCTGCATTGTTTTGGCTGATACATAAGAAGCTCTAGGACCTCAACCAAGTCAAAAAAATACAGAAGTGGGATGAAGAAAGACGGCGAAGAGCTGGACAGTTTTGTAATCCCTTTCCCAAGCAGATATGGCCCAGCCAACTGCTGCCTGGTGAGGCTGCCTGGGGGAGGGGACACTGAGGAAGTGCTGAGGGGTCTGATCCAGGTCAGTGGAGTTCCTGTGGAACCAGCAACAAGAACCCCTGCTACCTGAAAGGTCTGACAGCAGCCAAGCTACCAGTTTCCAGGAGTCATCATCACAGTGGAGGAGAAGCTTCACAAGTAATTAATCTGAAGTTACATGGCTAGATTTCCTCACTTTTCTTTCCAAAGCTTAATGATGTTGCTTTTCATTCTTTAACCAGCATTTTATAACGTGGAGGTCACTGGAAGAAATTGTGTGCAGGCTTTTCTCTGTTTTATGAAGCTCAAGAGGAGAGAAAAAGTCAGTAAGTACTCATGAAATTTTCTTCTAAAAGTCAATGTATTCTTCTAGAAGGCTGCTCCCTAAGTTAATTTAAGCAAGTTGTTATTTGAAAACAATGTTGTATCTTTCGAGGGTAGTATTGCCTTTTTTAAGTCCTCTATTGAGAGAAATTTAAGTGTGCAAACATAATTGCCCCTTTTCTTCTCTCATCCCAAAGTAGATGTTTCTTCATACTACAGAGAAAATCACCAAATATTCAAAACAGTTTGAATAGGTTCTTGCAATCCCCTATATAAACTTCATGATGCTGGCTTGCACATAGTCAACCCAGGATAAATAATGCTTAAGTGAGTACCCACTTTCTCAGCCAGGAAGACTATTTCCCCACCAGAATCTCCTGACTTGATTTAATTATGCTCTAAGATGCTATCAGCAACGTTAAGTGTGCTGTAAAATTGGAATTGGAATTGTATCATAGTTCATGTTCATTAGTATCCCCCCTTTTGCTTTCAGAGAAGCTTTAGAAAGATTTCACACTCTTGTGGTTTAAAGAAATACTTCGTTACAGCTTCTGGAAGAGTCCTGAAGCCAAGAGTGTATTGGGAGTCCCCCCTCCCGAACAATGTCAATGTTCCGACTTGTTTCAAAAGAGCTCATTAAATCACACTAATCACACTTTCTCTTTACATTAATGTCTCCTACTGTTAGTCATTCCCATATATTTTACCCAATAGACTACTTTAACCACCCAAGCACATGATGTCCCTGGAGATAGGCTTTAAAAAAAATAGAAATCAGAAAGTCATTAGAGTATAAATCATATCACTGGAAAAAAAATATTGTGGCTTGGTGGAACTGAGGTGAGTTTTCTAAGGCAAAGACAGGTTGGAAAGCCCAAAGGAGAACGAATGTTTATTCATAAATCCAAATGGAGTTAATTGAAACAATCTAGTGGACGTTTAAAAATAATGGCATCCATCGGAAGTGCTACAATTGTCTTTCACAGTGGACTCATTAGCCAGCACTATATTTTGATTACTCTTCTTCAGGGACCAGCTTTAGTCAATTAAAAATGATTTATGATTCTGGGTCTAAAATGTAGTCATTTGGGGGAAAGTCCATCCATCTACGTAGCAACATATCCATCTAACTTTGGACTGAAAATTTTTCAAAAATTCCATAATCTGATTGATTGACATCAAGAGATGAAAGAGATTTAAGAGCCCGTTATAATCAACATAAATGTTCTATTGATTCTTGAAACCAGGAGCATATTCCTTGCAGCCAAGTCTGTGGAACCACAACCCTGCCACTCACTCTACACATTTGGGTTTCCCTCTGTGGGTCCGGTGCTCTCTATCAATCTCTTGTTTGTTTGATATCAGGGAGTAGTGACAGACCATTCTGAGATTTAAATTAATCATGGACTTTTTTAGTTAATGCCTGAGTGCTTATGGATTACAACATGTTCTATATATCCTGCGTCTTAAACCTGCTTTTTAAAATGAAATATGGAAGGAAAACATAAATTTTTTTAAATAAAAAAGATTTTGAATGAAAAAGATTTTGCTCTTAAAAAAAAGGAACTAAATGAATGAATGAACTTTTATAAAAAATCAGCAAAACAGCCCTGTGACTCTTGGCACCTTGTTTTTTTTTTATTTTTTGTTTAAAGATTTATTTATTTATTTGAGAGACAGCATGCACGCGTGAGAGTGGTGGGGAAGGAAAGAAGAAGAGGGAGAGAGAGAATTTCAAGCAGACTCCCCACTGAGCATGGAGCCCGACACAGGACTCAATCCCTGGACCCTGAGATCATGACCTGAGCTGAAATCAAGAGCTGGATGCTTAATCAACTGAGCCACCCAGGCATCCTGATACCTTTTTTTAAATAAAAAATACTCTTGTCTGAAATACTTATGTTCTCCCCTTTTATAACTCTTCACTGTCAAACATTGACCTTTGCTTAATTCTGCCTTCACATCTACCTCTTGCTGTTTCTACCACCTAAAGCAAGCCTTCATCAAATCAAGCTTAGGCCCCTACAGGGCCTTATGGCTGGCTGTCGTTTGCCTACTCAATCTCTCTTCCTATCACATTGCACATCAAGTCTAAAGAAACTCTTCTAGAACACCCCATTCAGTGATAACACTGTTCTATTCAAAAACTCCAGGATTTCCCATGCCTACAGCCATGATTGTCAACCTGGGCCCCTGGAGTGCCACAGGTGAATCTCCAAGGTCTTGACAAAGAGAGCAGCTAACTAGGTGGGGTCCACCTACTTGCCCACTTCCACCAGAGCATGTTCACTCTGATCTGCTAACATACTGAGCATCCCTATTTAATATACTGACACTTTCACTTTTATCTGTTCAATATATTGGCAAAATACCATGTGAGAGAACATTCCACAACCTTTAAAGTGTTTCCAAACCATTGACCCCCATACAGAATAAAAACTAAAATAAATAAATGAGTATAACATGAAAGACCATCCACAGTCTGATCTTATCCCACCAGTAGAAGTGGCCACACTATGAAAGTTGAGTTTAGCCCCAGGTCGGATTACCTGTGCTCAGATCCAGGGTCCACCCCTTGCTAGCACTGCGATCTTCACTTAACCCATTACTTATGCTCTCGGAGCCTTTAAAGTGCTGATAGGTGCCTAGCTAATAAGCTTGCTTTAAAGATTAAATAAAATTATATAAGGGAAACCCTTAGAACAGTGCCAGCCACAAAGACGAGAATTGGGTAGCCATCAGGATTTCCTTTCAAGCCTTGGATCCTATTAGTCCGCCATGTGAACTCTTTGTTAGAAATAAACCACCCTATCCCCATTCTACAAATACTCCCTGGGCTTTATTATACCTCACCTCTTCCAGGCCCATATCCCCAGGCTGTAAATGTTACCACTTCTGGAGGCTGCTGCTTTACAAGCAAGAGTGGGAAGGAAGTGGGAGAGGATATTGAGGAAATAACCATTAAAGCACCTTAGAAATATAGTCTTATCTTTGAACATCCTTCTTTCTGCCAGTCATTGTTCACTGAAGCCTAATACTGAGAAATTAGTGCTATGCTGCAATGGGGCAGGGGGTGGGGGACGCAGGGGAGAGACAGATTGGAAGATACTCGTTGTTACTGATGGGATCTCAGTTGCTTAAGAAACCCTGAGCATGTATTAACAGATGCCATCCCAAAGCCAAGTGCTTACAAAGTCATTCTGATCTGGAAAATTATTTAGATTTTAAAGTGAATGCTCCTTTTGGCCTGTTTAAACACTAAATATCCCCTAGCCCCTTTCAAAGAACAGGAGTCAAGTTTCATCTTCTGAGCCAAGTTTCTTCCCCTTGCTTCATTCTGCTCTGTGTTGGTTTCCTTCACAAGGGAATGTGTTTTAATATTTTTATATACTTTGCAGAGCACTTTGAGAAGGAGAGTACCTTACGAGCATAAAATAATATATTCCAACACAGACATTCTGCTTGCAATTATCCATGCAAAGGCATCCTAAATTTTGATCACCAGGAGCATAATGAAGCACATGACATTTAGGGATTTCCTTATCTCTGGGATTGCATTAGGTATGTTTGGGGAGTGGGAGGATTTTAATCTTGTCAAGTCACAGGTACCACACTTAATACATTTCTGTTTCAAGTATGTTGATCAGTCAATGAATGTCTCATCCTACTTTCCATGCCAACTTCCTTATTAGATTTTCAATTTTTGTACCATTTGTGGTTAATCAGATAATTATAACCCTAGATTTAATATTTTTCTAGTTTTCCATTCTTTAGTAACCATAGCCATGCCTTATAATGTGTCAGCCAATTCCAAAATTCAGTACTTAGAGGGCAAGGATCCTTTGCTTTGGCTCCTAGAGCTGTAACAAGAGCACCATGAATTTCCTACAAATACACATCTGGCTTCTTGCCTTTGTTGTCCAGGACAAATCAGTTCCAGAAGACTATCCATCCCTTTGAAATCTTTGGCTGCATAGAGAATACCAACTGAGTTGGAGACTATTAGCCCATTCTATACTCTGGCAAAGGATCAGGGTAGGACATATTGCTGTATTCATCTTAGTTCTTTCTTAGTCACCTCATGCAATTGAAGGGGGAAAAAAAGATTATGAAGTTTATTGATGACCTGCTACTATGTGCCGGACACTGCTAAGTCAAAATACAAGTGCCTTTTTCCTCAAGGAATTCACCTCCTACTGAGGGATACACACTCACAAACAGATACACTCACCACTCTTGGTTCCTAACAGGCAAAACAAACTAGAGGAGACATTTACCAAATGGTCAGACATCTTATCAGGAGGTACAGTACTTCCAAGACCCATAAGCAGGGCCTCCAATAACACTGTATTTGGTTTCATGGAGCCAGGGGGTGGAAGGGGGGTGGGGAGGTGGTTGAGGATCAACATTCATAATTTACCAGGTATGAGTCCATCCTAAAGATAACACCAAGCCTATTTACGAGTATAGAGTCTGAGATGCCCCACCCTAACAAAACCAAGTGAACCAGTCGTAAGAAATGCTCCTTGTCACCAAAGGGTTATATTCCAAAAGGCAGCTCTCAGAGTTCCATTTTGTGAAATGCGACATGCATACCACCGACATGGAAGACATGTAGCAGCTGGTGATAACAGGCCACAGCTGAGGAGGCCTTGCAACATGTCTTTAACTTTTCTGAGAGGCATGCCATATGCTTACAAAAAAAAAAAAATACACAAAGTTAAAACCTGCCCTTCACTCTCATGAACATTTTCCAGTTAGTTGTGGTCTCTATACATGGGGTTGGTGGTAAATAAAGTCAAGAATATTTTAAACTTAAACTGAGAAACTTGCCTACTCAATTTGAATTTTTTAAACTGTCTTATGATGATGGTAATAAGAGCACATTTCTGGATGAGCATCATCAATCACTGATGGGATAGTCCCAAGAGAAGAGCAAACTCCTCAGTAAGGGTCCCAAATCGCTCACATTGCACTGGGCTCTGTAGATTGGCTTAAAGATGCATAAAATTTCATGTAGTTGGACAGTCCCCTGATGGCTCTCATGTGTGTTGTTTATTCCATTCTGTATGCGATAGAACATTCGCTCGCTCAATTTTCTTCCTGGACAGCTTTAGAGGCTTGGAGAGACTGTAAATATTTAGTTCTTAAAGTCAAAACTATCCACTTTTGTTCAAAATACCTCTATTTGGGAAAGTCTCAAACATCTGTTTAGAAAACCTCATAGCCAGTTTCTAGCCTAACACAAACTATAAAGAAAAACACAACATGATATCACCTATAAGGGAGTAAGATGTGGAAGATATGAGAGTGGGATGTGGTCTGGAACCCAGATGTAGCAATTAGAATGTTTTGAGCTACAAAACAAGAAAACTCCCCTCAAAATGGATAATCAATTTGGTACACTTATTTTCTCCACAGTAAGACATTTAGAGGCATGGAGTTTCCAGGATTAATTAATGAGGCAGCTTAACGACATTACAAGGACTCGAGTTCTTTCGGCCATCCTCAATGGGCTTTTTCTCTTCAGTCTTACATCTTCATGGTTGCAAGCTGGCTGTAGCTGCTCCAAGTTTCATCCCTCACCCATCAATCTTAAGAAGGGAGGACCAGGGCACCTGGGTGGCTCAATTGGTTGGCCAACTGCCTTCGGCTCGGGTCATGATCCTGGAGTCCCGGGACTGAGTCCCGCATCGGGGTCCCTGCTTAGCGGGGAGTCTGCTTCTCCCTCTGACCCTCACCCCTCTTATGCTCTCTCTTTCTCAAAAATAAAATCTAAAAAAAAAAAAAAGAAGAAGAAGAAGGGAGGACCAGAGGGCATCGCTTTCTTATCACTTTTAGAGCAAAGTACACTTTTTCAGACACATCATGTAGAATTATCTTTACGTCTTAATGACAAGAACTCTGTCACAAGACCATTCCTAAACCAATCAATAGCAAACTAATGAAGTTGCTAGTCTTGGCTTAGACTAATCACTATTTAATTTCCAGAGGCCAGGTCAGAGCTTGAAGTTCTTGGCTGCCTAACACCTGAACAAAATTGAGGAGGGACATGGAAATGACCATTGAGTAAACAACCAAGTGTCCATCACACCAGAGAACACAAGTGCTGTAACTCTGCTTTTGCTCCAGTCTCTGCAATGACTTCTCTATTCGTCAGGAAAGAAGGCACTACGAGGCAGCAGGTAAGACCATGTCTCCAGTCACTACATCTAGGTTCAAATCCCAACTCTGCCCTTCACTAGCTGCATGGCTTTAGGCAAGTTACTTCCCTTTTTGGTGCCTAAATTTCCTCATGTATACAATGTCAGAAAAAATAATACATACCCCATAGGGTAGATTAAACTGAATAATGTTTATACAATGCTCAGCCAACTATCTAGCACCTGATATCAATAAAGATTAGTAATTGCTACTAACATAATCTCACTCCAGAAACTAGATCCCAATACCTGAAAGGATTTAAGAATCCTCCTTTTCATACTGCATTAAGAAAAAAAACCTCAAAAATGCAAGCCCCCAAAAATCTCCGGTAGTAGGGAAGAGAAGATAGCATAGTTTAATTGTATCAGTAAAAGCACAGCAGTGCCTAAGTAACCACTTGACTTCTACGTTCATGTTTGACACATGGGCTCATAACCATTTCATTTATTTCAAGAGACAAAAAGAAAATCATATTTGGCAATTATAAAATAGCATGTATGGATTCAAG